ACACTCCTGTGTTCTTCCTCAGTGTGAGGACAACTGACAAAAAATACAAAGTAAAGCAATATTTACACACGAAACGAAAACAGAACATCGAATCAGCGGTAAAGAACAAAGGCGCGTAATAAGATGCGAATTCTAAACGTTCTACTTAATATGGAATAAACAAAGTAGATAAAAGCTGGATAAAGGCCTAGGAACCAAGAAAAAAATTAAGTATATATAAATGAATAGTCAGATAAGTAATCTAAGTCTTTATTTAAACCGTTAATATAAGAATTGGTTCTAAGAATCCACTTCAATTCTTCTTTACGTCTATGTGAGAGGGATAAAAAGTTATTAGCGACCAAAATAAATCTTATGTCTAACCCAGTGGAATCTTCGTTAGATTAATAAAGTTTTTTACTATACACAATAACGCAAAAATTTAAATTTCGGGTTTATAACGGCTACCGCTCAGGGGGTGGATTTATCAAAATTACTTAACAAAAAAAAATCAACGTAAATTCGTCTTATACTCTTAAATCCATAAATCCCAGGCCAGGTCTTTTAAGATACAGAAATGTGATAATGTATGGATCAGTTTGATGTTCATCCTTTTGCAAACTTTTATAAAGTTTTGTTTAATACTGAGGTGCTTGTGAAATCACGGCTTTAAAATATGTAAAGCAAATACTCAAAGACAATGTTTTTAAGCTTTATTTTCTATGGTACATCACACATATTATTAAGATCTCTATGGTTGCCGAAAATCCCTGATAAAAGATCGTGAGAAATTTGTTGGCGCTTCATTTTGAATATATATAATGGTGATGTGATGAAAATGAATTTTACTAAAAGTGTTATAAGGTATTATCCCCCCCCCCCACACCCACCTTTCCAAACAGATTTACGCCCTTCCCAGGGTATGACATTAAACTCCATCGAGTCCGCACCTTACTCAGAGTATGTCTTAGTGACTGCTGACGCGAGGGTACATACATTTTAATTATAGGATGTGCTCTGGTTTTTCATGCCCATTTTTATGTGATTGTGACTATTTTGGATAACAAATGTTTTGAGCAGTGGCGGATGCAAGGCCCCCGCCCACTAATTTCTTTAATGAAAAAAAAAAGAAGAAAATTACCGTATATTCAAATTTAAGTCTGAGAGTGTAATATCCGGCCATCTGCGCTAATCATAAATTTTCCTACCTCAACCCCAACCATAGTGGGTCTGAGGTGGGTGGTTCCTTAGTCTGTAAAAGTCCCTCCCTGTGTCACCTCAGAGTCTTTCGAATTCCTGGATCCGCCGCTGTTGAGTTATTATATAATTGTCGTTAGGCTTACTAATATTATTTATGATGCGTCTATTGCAATGTTTACTTTATCCTCTTAAAACAGTCCTAAAAACGTTCGCCCCCTGGACCTCACCGGGGTCCTTGGCGTCTCCCAGTCGTAAGGAGGGACACACCCCGCCCGCTACGCCCCTGACATGGTAGCGCTGATTATCCCGTCGGAAGGTGGCACTTTGTACAGCTTTGGTAAATGACGTTGCAAGCGCTCTTCAGATTCGATTTGTATTTCGAAATATATTCATTATGGAAAGACGAAGGTGGTGAGGGGAGGGAATTCATAGAATGAGGAGATATAATTCCAGCGACAGGTATACATCATAATAGCTGTTGCTGCTACTGCTAGAAGCTTTGGTAATGTTGATGTATCAGTTAGACCTATATTTTATATATATATTTTTTTAATTTGTAAATTTAATTTGTACCTGAACTGCTTAACTTGATTGTTAATTCGTTTTATTTGATATTTGGGGGAGTCTACAGGTGACGGAGCTGGTGTAAGTGTATATGTGATTGATACCGGCATCAACCCATCCCACAACGAATTTGGTGGCCGAGCTGTTGCCGCCTACGACGCAACTGGTGGCGATGTAAGTAGACAAAAATAGGCAAAAATAGACTTCGACTACAACTACTGCTACCACCACTATTACTGCTAATACTGCTACTCACTACTACGGTACCGTAATGCTACATACTACTGCTACTATTATTGTTATTGTTATTTTGGTATATATAGCGCCTATTCATTTAGGTTACAAAGTTGCTGTTACTACTACTATAATGCTGATTGATAACAATAATGATTGTCATGAATGTTTCGGCTGGCCATTAGTGCCTGTGAGTCGCATAAATGAGAAGCCAAACAGGGGCGGATCCATAATTTGTTTAAACGGGAGGGGGAAGGGGAACAACATTTTCAGAATAGATACCGGTAAATGAGTAGCTCTAATTTCAGTATATGCATTGAAATTTGTGACAAAACGTAGAGTGGGGTTGGGGTGGAGGGGGATCCGAGCATGGCAAAAGCATATGTAAAAGGTCAACTTTAGCTACGGAGTGTTGTTAAGTATATTAATAACAATCACGTAATAATAATTATGATTGATTGTCTCATACAATACAAGAACAATAATTATAATGACAAAAGTATTATACGATGATGATAATAATGTCAATGCTTCAATGCGTAATGGTAAGCAATAATGATTCTTGAAAATAACGAATATTTTTACATAAATGAATTAATAATACTTGACCAATTGATATTTTACTTCTAGTATTTAATATACATTAATTAAGGAAACCTTTGATATATTAAACGTTTATTCCAAGGGAATTGATTGCAATGGCCATGGAACTCACTGTGCGGGAACTATCGGTGGCAAAACATATGGCGTTGCCACTGGGGTTGATATTTTTGGTGTCAGAGTTTTCGGATGCTTAGGTGGATCTCCTACGTCTACATTAATTGATGGTAAGATTTCTCATATCACAGATATAAAATCAATATAATATATATATACATAGTTTTGGCCTTCCTGTTTACTTGTTTAGGCTGTTTATTCTAATCTCACCCAGCCTATGGTACTTATGTGTACACTAATGTGTGCACTATGTTCTATTTGTTCTGTTTACTGAATCATGAAATTCTCACTTTATACCATCTATGGATAGAGCGAATGAAGGTAGTTGTTTTTACTGTGTTGGACTCCTGTAAGTAAAGCGACCCAACCTGAAACATTCTTGACAATACTGTATATGCTGTACTTAGCTGAATATGATCCTTGATTCATGCAAAAGGCATGAATCGCCTACATTGTGCCAGATATAATACAGATGTGTATAAGAGACAGGGAAGGCATACAATCAATGCTTTAGTATATCAACTGGTAGCTGAAGTAGAACTGCATACAATACAACACAATTTTAATACTTTTTTAGAAAGTACAACAATTAATTTACCCAATATTTCATACTTATTAATATTTACTACTTAATATACTTTACATACTTAATACTTCATAACATCAGGTTTTCTCTCTATATTTAATAATAATAATAATAATAATAATAATAATAATAATAATAATACTAATAATAACAACAACAACAACAACAACAACGACGACGACGACGACGACGATGATGATGATGATGATGATGATGATGATGATGATGATGATGATGATGATGATGATGATGATGATGATTATGATATTATCTCGAATTTATATGGCGCCAATTCCAAAAAAGATCAGTCTCAACGCATGTGAACAGCCATATTAAAACAAATAGGTCTTAAGCTGTGATTAAAGTTGCAAAGAGAATTGGAAGACGTTATATTGGAAAACTCCCGATTGATTACTTGAATAATTGATTGATTGACAGATGGTATATGTTGTACAAGCTGTTTTATGCGTATTTCACTTTTGTCCTTGAGCAAGGCACTGCATTGCTTCTCGCCACCCAGGAATAAGTAGGTGCTAGGTAGGGTTAATTGCCAAAATGTGTTGATTAGCTGCTGCAGTGTAAAGAAATAGTCCCCAGGTTAACTTTGTGTTCCATATGTGTTGATCCAATGACTGGTGGTAATAATTTGAAGCGCTTAGAGGCATTTTGGCATTAAGCGATATGTAAGTCTAGCATATTATTATTTATTTAAAATCAAAGTAAACCAATGTACCGGAGTAATGATAATGTGAAGCGCTTAGAGGGCTTATCATAATGCGCTATAAAGTCTACCGTGGTCCTACCATTGTTATTAGTAGTATTATTACTGGGCCCTATCTGAGAACACTACTACTTAACTGAAGAACCACCCAGTGTAAAGAAAAAATTACAGTTATACACAGTAGCAACCATATACTGGATAGGCCTATTACCACAATGCTGAATTTACGGCCCACCAAAAGCGGGACAGTTGGAATATATGCCATTGAATGACAATTTCTCAATACTGTAATAGGAATCAACTATGTGTACGAAAATGGCAATCAACCGGGTGTTGTATCCATGTCATTGGGTGGCGGGACATCTACTTCTACAGACAATGCTGTTAATGAACTCATTTCCAAAGGATTTGCTGTTGTGGTCGCTGCGGGAAACGACAACGCTAACGCATGCTATTATTCCCCAGCAAGAGTAGATCAGGTAAGGATGGAAGTAGTTTCCTGCCAATTGTCATTTATTACCATATGTATTTGAATAAATGCTCCGGGCGTTTATTAGGAAGATTTCGCAACCTTACGAAAACAATAACGAATACGATTATGTCATGATCTAAAAAAGTATCTGTCAGGTACTGCACAACCGCCGCCAACTAGGCTATCACGTGCAGGTAACACTGTCTCTGCAACTGGTTGCAAATTATATATTTAGATTTTTAGATGCGCAGTCTTAATAAGCCGGTCAATTATGATATTAAGTTGGGACTTGAAGGTGGCCAATGTAGGGGCACCCCTAATGCCATCGGGGAGCAAATTCCATCCAGGGATGGTCCATGGATAGAGCGAATGAAGGTAGTTGTTTTTACTGTGTTGGACTCCTGTAAGTAAAGCGACCCAACCTGAAACATTCTTGACAATACTGTATATGCTGTACTTAGCTGAATATGATCCTTGATTCATGCAAAAGGCATGAATCGCCTACATTGTGCCAGATATAATACTGTAGGGGAAGGGTTGTCTAACAATTTGATGACGTATCCGTATTCAACATCGTTTTCGTAAGCTTGCAAATACTCCCTAATGCTGAGAAGGGTTTTTGAGGGGGCGTTTATGAGAGGGAGGCGTTTATTCAAGGAAGGCGTTTAACACATAATTTCCATCAAAGTCATTGCGTGATCATGAAGACTTATTGATCCTAACCAGGTTAGAAAAAATGGAGTAGAACATAAATAGAATGTGTTGAGAATGAGGTTGCTTCCATTAGTTTTGTTTAGAGTATTTTAAGGGGTCGTTTATTGTTTATTCGAGGGAGTCGTAGTACGGTATTCTAAATGAGGCTCTGAAGGGGGTGTTTATTCAAAGCGGGGTGTTTATTCAATAAGTAAGGTATTATTTTAACTTCTTTAAGTTTCATTCAGTATAGGAATGTACTACATTGAAGAGATAGGGTATGCCTAACAATGGCAGGTAATAGGCATATAAAACAAACAAATGTTGAAACATACCTTATCGTAATATGGTACTAAAATAAAAACGTTTGTAAATAATTCATACCATATTTCTTTATACTAAAATAATTAATATTTCGGTAATACACCATTTGTAAGAGTATTTGAGACAAAATAACCAGTGGTTTCCTCTCAACATAATATTGATATTGACATCTCCTACAAATTTAAGTTTTACAAGAGGTGAATCCATGATTTAACGCAGCGGTGGATCTAGAGGGGATTCTGAATTGTATTGTATTTTTGATGTTCTTATTTTGTGAATTTGTGACTGAATTGTTTTTATCGTATTTTGGATGTTCTTTTTTCTTGACCGATTTTTTTTATTTTGATTTTATTTGACTTTGTACTTGAATTTTGTTTTTTATTGTACTTTTCATGTTTCCCTCTGTTTTTTCTTGATTGTGTACTTTTGCTGTAAATTTGTACTCCAATTCAGCCCTTTGGGCTGCTATTGTACATATGGTGGTTTTGAAATAAAGAATAAATATATTCAGGGAAGGACTTACAGGACGATCTTCACAAACTTTTAGTAGGGATATAGCACCTCTAGATGGCCGGAATTTGCTCTCTTAGACTTAAATTTGAATATCATTTTTTTTCTCTCCATTTCATCTTAATGCTCAGCCGGCCCGGGCCCCTCTTTAATCCGCCTAACGCGAGCGATCTCCAAGTAGGTTCGGCAAAATTGGAATTGGCAATCAGCAATTTGAATCTCGTTAACCGATATTAGGCCTACATTCACTCGCAAGTTTGATAAGTGGAAGAGATTCCTTAAAATTTGTACAAAAAAAGTAGTACACGTAGGCCTAGTTATCTGAACTGATACGCACATAAGCATGAAATAAGTAACACTTAATAAAATATAGATGGACTACAAACAGCACAATTGTGATCTTTCAGAGAGAATCATGCAAATATGAAATCAGATTCAGGGGCGTACCTTGGGGGGGGGGTCGATGGGTGCGGTCGATCCCCCTTTTAAAGAAAATGCCCTTTAAATATGCTCGCTTCACTCACAAATAACGCACCCCGCGAATTCTGAAAGCTTCGCTAAATTGCTCCGAGTTCAGCTTGCCCCCTGCGCTTTCGTTTCGACCCCCCTTAGATTTTTCACCGTACGCCCTGAGATTATATATTATAAATCAACTTTATTCCTCACTTCAGACCTCATCCGTATCAATTAGGCCTACCTAAAATATCCTTCTATCTTTCGTTCTTCGTTTCCTTCACCCTCGACGCTATCCCATCTCTGCTCTTATTCAAATTGTTTTTGATTTTAATGATTAGGCTATTACTGTCGGCGCTACTGATTCGTCAGATTTTCGCTCACCCTTCTCCAACTACGGAAGCTGCGTTGATATCTTTGCTCCTGGATCCTTTATCACCTCAGCTTGGTGGAGTTCTAACACGGCTACATCTACAATCAGTGGGACTTCCATGGCCACCCCTCATGTTGCAGGTAAAACATTTGCCTTCTTTGTGTCCTGACATTAACATAAGGCATTGGAATTCTTTTTGAATAAAATGTATGCATCGTCGTTGCCGTTACCGAAAGTGACAGAAAATATAAAAATGAAAAAAATGTACTTGCTGTTCAGAAAATCTGCCTACAAGCCGACAAGGGGTCCAAACCAAAGTCAGGGTACAGGAATCCTGGAGGGATTCATGAAAAGACCGCCCCAGGGAGGGACTTTCATAGATGAAGGGCTGTCTCTTATACACATCTAGATGTGTATAAGAGACAGATATAATATAAATAAATAAAAAGCGAGGTTCAACAGTAGCTTTGATTAGACATTTTATTACTACTTAGTTTCGTACCACACACATGGTGTGACACTCTTCAGTTTATCTGAAGAGTGTCACAGGAGTGTGTAGTGTGTATTTCTCTATTCTCTAATTTGTTATTTGCAGGTGTTGCGGCTGTTCACCTTAGTAATGGCTACACAGCCTCCCAAGTAAGGACCAAAATTCTGAGCGATGCTAGTTCCAACAAAATCAGCAACACCAACTGGAGATCTCCAAATAAATTGCTGTTTGTTGACTAAACAATATAATTAAGCATTGTGTTACCATTGGAAACCAGTGTGAGTTCATTGAACACAGCTAGTTGCTCTATTACCGGTACATTAGCTTAATTTTTCCCTATCCAGTTTTTACGGTATGTCTACTAGTATGACAGTGGTGGATCCTGGGATTTTCCGATTTTCTGATTTGATGAGGTTGTTATATAAACTACCTATTCAATATTTTAATTAGTGAGGTTTTTTTTGGCAGACTTCATCTTTAAGTTTCCACATATGAATAAACATTATGATAGACTTAATTTCATTTTGTGTTCATTAAGGTTTTTTTTTTTTTTTAGAAATTTAGCACTAATATAATACTGCACAACAGTCAACTGAGTGAAAGGTAGCGTTATTTGATCCGTTAAAAGAAACATTTCAATGTAACGTGTCTAAGAATATCTTAAGCGACGTCATCGATAGAACACTCGTACATATATAAAAGGCCTACACAAACCCACATCACATATAATAATTAGTGCAATATAAATATAAAACCGACTGATGAAAAAAATAATAAATTAATAGTCTGCATGGGGGTTGGGGAATAGGCAACTCTGTCTGATTAAAACTCGTGATGGCGCACTCACTCTCCGAACTGAAGAAAGTGACCGAAGTAGTTGCTGAAACCGTTGCTAAGGTAAGCAACTAATTAGTTCAACAAAACCAGATGAAATTCTTTGAGTCTATGTCTGAAGTATTCAGGCTCAATTCTGATGCAGTTTTACAGTGGCACGTGTTGCAGTAACAGTAGAGCATCCATTCAGAGCTCAAGTAGGCTGGTCTCATCTCTACATTCAGCCAATCACAAGATTTAAAAACACAAGCAAAAAATACATTTACAATAAAACACGTATGTCGTTTTTTGTGCAAGTTTCATTTATTCAACCACTTCCAGATAATATGTTTAGGCTGGCTCATTGCAAATGATTTTTTTTCAAAGCATATCCGCAAAATGGTGTTTTTTTTTTTTTTGTCGTGGAGCAAAATTTAAAGAAAGAGAGCATAAATTATAGATAAAATTGGATATCTTAAGCGTAAAAAACAAATTTTACTTGTAAGATCTTTTCTATACTATAAAACTATCTTGTATCTTGTATCACACCAAGGATACACACTAAAGTCTAAAGACATATTTCCAGTGGTGTCCTCGAGGGTCCCAAATTTGAAGAAATCATTTCCGGGAAATCCGTGGTGGCAGGTTGAATGGTAGGGGACAGGGAGGGACTTTCATAGATGAAGGGTGTAGACCACCTCAGCCCCACCATGGTTGGAGCTGAGTTAAGACAATTTATGATTACGGCTGGAAATGGCCCTCTCAGACTTATATCTGAATATAATTTTCTTTTCTACCCCATCTTTCTTGTATAATCTTAAAATATTTAAGGGGCCCAGGTGGGCTGTCCCTCCCCCCTCCACTTTTAGTCTGTCACTGATCTGGTTAATGAGCTTCTGCACATAGTGATCATAGTGATACCAATCGGCACTGACATCTATGAGAAATTGATAATAAAGTGGTGAAAACATGCAACATTATAATTTTTCGGAGATGGGTTAATTTCCCGGAGATTCTTGCCTGGTTGCAGAAGTGCGGGAGGCCATTCCGATTTCTGGGACTCTTCGCGAGTTCCGGGAGACTTGGGATCCTTGGGTCCTGCTGGTGGTGAATTGGACAGTACACCAAAAATTCTCTATTCTTTTCTAATTAGGGTACTGCATTCCTTAACATGCACACAGGCTATATTTTCAACCAAATAGTAATGAAGAAGCATTTGAACTAAACAATATCAAGGATTAACAAAAAGATATATGGCTGATCGCAATTGAATGAAATTTACAGCCCATAGGATTAATTATTAGCTTATCAATCTGGCCTCTCACCAAAATATTACTCTGAAAATTTTTACAAATATGCAATATAACACAAAAATATATACAGAACATCGATTTTTATATAACACTTCAATAAAAATAAAAATAAAAGTTTAAAACGGGTCAGATATTACTAAAAAACAAAAGAAAAAAAAAATACTCGGATGAAGATAAGCTAAAAATTAATTTATAAGGCCTTATACCACTCTGAATCTGAGACGATTCAGCAATCAATTACATTGTCTTCTAAAACTGAAAATATAATTTATAATCAATGAAACCACATCATTAAAGGTTTGCATACGATCTACAATCTACATACAAATAAATTAACACAGCATGGAAGTGATATCATTTGCATCTACAGTAACCATGAAACTTTTTAAATGCTCTTGAATGAGTCCAGTAAAACAAATGATATAAACTGCATATTTCTTTAAATATATTACCAGCTACAATATCATTGCAGCATACAGTACCCTATAAGTAGTATGTATGTTGGCACAAAATAATTACCTAAATGGCAACGGAAGTTATGTATAACACGGGCTATATCACTCAGAATAGAAGAATATCTTTATCTAGTATTATGTCTAAATTCAGTCCACTATATTATTAAATTCCATTGAAAATTTAAACAAAATGAATTAATTAGTGTGTATGCTTCAATTTAAAAAAATGAAATGATGAATGTTGTGATATTTTCCCAACACAGTGTTGCATGCTTTTTTTTCCTCTTTTTTTTTATAACAATACCCTACAATCTTGAGTGAGACTTAATATTAGAAATAATTTTGTGCTAATTACCGTACTGTATATACAAAAGTTAATTAAAACGAAAGAAAACTATCATAAATTTAACATAAAAAGCATCAGAAACAGTTTAACGGTGAAGGCATACAACTTCAGAAAATATTAGCAAAATGTTGAGGTTTATTAACAATAATGTGTCTAATTAAAAACAAAATAATAACACAATGTAATATGTCTATGCTGCACAGAAATATAATATCGCTCATGTAGTACTTTGGTTTAATTTGATTTCTTATTAAATAAATAATAATATGTTCGACTTATATAGTGTTTAATGTCAACAAGGATTCTAAGCGCTTCATATTATTACCCCGGTCATTGGATCAAGCAAATATGAAACACATACTCAGCTCCCTGGGGAGAATCCATAATGTTGCAGTTGTAATTAGGATATTTTGTGTTTGAACCTACCAGGTACCCACTTGTACCAATTCAATCACCGTCCACATAAAAAAATGTATTCTCAAACATGCTATAGCATCCTATTTGTTAAAAGCTGAGAAGTAATTAAGTAATTTAAGTTTTTTTTTTTTTTGCTTACTCTGAATAATACTGTTGAAAAACAACTATAAAATAGTAAAGAAAATTACACATTACCATAAACCTTTTGAGAACAAAAATGAAATTTATAATGTTACACTGCTGCTTAATCAGCTGCAAATATCAATCAAAAAACTGCTAAGAAGTATGAATTACTATTAATTATAAAAATCTGTTAAATGTAGTGTTGGGAGATTGGGATTGGCAGGGAAGAAGGAAAGGGAAGAATAAAGCGAGATTGGAGGTGGGGGTAGGTTTGTTATGACCAACTATCATAACCTAACAACTATTCTTCTCATTTGATAAAAAAAAAAAGAAGACCATTCTATCAAAATTTATTATTTAAGTTTATATCATACAGGGTGAGGATAGGAATTACATAGCATATCTTATATATACAAATTTAATTTATTCAAATAATGAACCTCTATTTTAGCAAAGTCATATTTAACAAAATTAAAATGATGAATTTAAAATAATTATATTTTGAAAATTTAAAAATATGCCAGTAAATTAGTAAAGGAACTCAGTTTTGTTTACATTTTAAACAAAGAATTACTTCAAAAATTTAATATCAAGATGAATCAACAATGTAGACCAATTTGAAAAAGTTGTCACTGTTAAAGTCAACAAGCATAAACCTGTGGTAAGACAACTTGCCACCACTACCACTACCACTATCTATTATCCGGAAGAAAATTCCAAATTGGATTAAATATTTACAATTAAATATTCATAAAAAGAAAAGAAATAGAGGCTGTTAATGTTAAATAGCAAGTCATGAAAACAACAACTTTAAAACATCTCTTTGCGTCGCAAATAAAAAGTGTGTAACTAGATATATCAATCGCCTATCACAGCGATCAATCTAAGAGATTTTTTAGCTGTCACACATAATGGAGCATACCATTCCATGATGGGTGTGCCAAACTCATTGCTGAGTTTACTTACACACAAACTATATTCTGAGTTATTCTTTGGTAAATAGTTTTACCACCCCCATCACAAAATGTTACGACCCACGATACAATACATAAATAACCTCATTTTCAGAATGATTGCAGTTTTTTTGCATCAATTTTATTCAATGGGGATCATCCAAAAAACTTAAGTATACAAAGTTAAATAAATGAACAATCATGTTTCATGACCACCATATAAATATTACTGATCAATCAATAACAATATTAACCACAGTATCAACGATAATAAATATATTAGCAACAAAAGTAACTTTAATATTAATAAAAAGGACAAATATTAATTAATGAGGATTCAAGAATAATAATTTTCAAGAGTACATCCTAATCTAATTTTGCATACAATCTTTTGGTAAGGACACACGATTAACATCAATTTCAAATTGAGTATGTGGTACTCATGTGGTAAAATCAAAACAGTTTAGTTTCAATTATATTCATATACTCCTCCATACATATACAGACATACACTATATATGGCTTAATCACAGCATCATTACAATTAACACAAACAAGCTAATTATTCATCAGTGAGAGTAGCCAAAAATGGCGAAAAAGATTTTGCTCAACAACAACAACTTCTGCTCTGAGACAGAAGAAAAAACGTTCGAAATGGAACAATCAAAGACGATATCTTCATTAACCGACGATCTCCTTTAAAAAGCAATTTAAATTTTACAACACAATTTAATACAAGTGAAATGCAAGAAGATTAGGGTTCTCAGATATAGTTTTGAATGAACAATTGCATTATTGCAGCAGTCTATGTGCGTTGTGATAACTCACTCCATCCACTCTTGTCTGTGTGGCTGACATTTGTAAGTAGTGGCTTTTCAGAAACTCTGTAAACAGTTGAAAATCAAAAAAATTAGAAAACAAACTATGAAATACAATCGTTCTTTTGGATTATACACCCCTATTATTATTATTATTATTATTATTAATCCCTATTTATAGGACACTTCTATGAAGAGGAAACTTTTCTATGAAAAATAGGAAAATACATTAAAACCTCAAATTGAAGCCCAGTGGGCTTAATCTCGAGATGAAGCCCATCTCAAATTGAAGCCCCCTCTTTAGTTTACAAAATTAGCCTCAAAAAGAAGCCCATGGGCTTCTTTTCAAGATAGTATAGACTTGTTTTTGAGATAGCACAGTATATACACTGTATATGAATTTCAAAAAACAAAATAAATTAAAAACAAACTTAGTAGTACAGTAGTTCAGGTGATTTAAAGTCAGTTAAATACACTCCATGATACAGATTGATGTTACAGTGGCCGTATTTTACAGTACTCATTTTGAAAAGAAGCCCCCTCCCCACCCCTCTCTTTACTTTGCAAAAGTAGCCTAGAAAAGAAGCCCATCTAAACAGAAAGAAGACCAGGGCTTCAATTTGAGGTTTTATGGTATATTAAAGGTGTCAGGGTGTCAAATGGTCAAATCAACACCTTTTCAACTCCTTTTAAATTGACACTATCTTTTAAAATTGTATCTTGAAAACTACCAGGACAGAATATTACAGTAGAACCCCCTCCTTTGGGACACACCACTTCAGGGAACATCCCTAATAAGGTGACAGGGACATGTTTTGATGCCAAATGGATGGTAAAGTCAACAACTATTCTACCCCTATTCAGAAGACATTATTTTTGTTTATTTATCACAATACTCAAAATAATAAAATTTCATTCAAATGTATAAATTTAACCAACATTTTTTCCTATAAATGGATATCAGTATAGGCTTATCTGTGTCACGCTTTACTTTCAGTTCATGTTTATTATAGTTAATTTTGAATAGCCTTTAACCCACCCACCAAAATCTTAGTTACTACTATATTCTTAATTTTTTTTAAACTGTGATTTCAATAAAACTTGAACTATGTAACTTACATGTAGTCCATATCATAATCATATTCATAATCATATTCATCCTCTTCCTCCTTCGATACGTGAAGGTATGGATTATCGGATCCCGGCCGGAAACTATATGCAGTGAATACAAAGAACAGGTACGTGGAAATTTCAAAGAAGAAGTCATCAATCCAGGTATAATTAAATGGAACCATCACCTGCAATTAAAAAAAAAAACATGCTGAGGTATTACACTGCAAACATACATCAATGCCTTTAACAGATCCTTGTTGAGGTTTCCAGGACTGTTGATTATTTTTTGTTTAATTTACATAGGGAAACAGCAAAATTACACAATGTGAGGAACCTTTGTGAAAATGGTCTAGTCCATCTTTGTTTAAGCACATATGCATGAAATTATAGAACAGCTGTCTAATTAAAATATAATAACACTCACCTTCAACAAGTAAACAATCATTCTAGTGATGTAGATATAACAAACAACCTGAAATCAGTGAAAAAAATGTGGTAAACTTAACTTTTATATCATTAATACATTTACTGTAGATAAGTATTATTAGAATATCATTCCAGTACAATACTTCATTTTCAACACTGGTATATATTTATTTATTTTGCTTTTTGTTGTTGATTATTATGTTGTAACTATTTCTATATGTTCCCATTTTTTCATTTCATTTTCTAACTTGTTAAATCACATAGAGACCAAGTATTATAAGTATAACGTTATAAAAATATATCGATAACATACAGAGTGGAGTTAAATAGTTTGGTGGTTAAGATGCTTGCTTTCCAATCCCAGGGTCCTGGGTTCAGTTCCTGTAACGATCAGGAGAATTAGAGTCTATGTAAACACACACACACACACATACAGACACTCTAAGTTCTCTCCTAAACGATTTGGATTTTAAAATACCATTAAATTACAACCTACCATGATGTAAAAACGTCTGAAAAGCTTCAACTTGGCAAGGCTGATGGCAGCTGTAAGTTAAACGATTCAAAAGAATATATATATA